TCTCTTTCTGTTCATTTTTTGATTGGCACCTGGGTTCTTTCCCCTTTTCTCTTTATACAGACTTACTAGCCTTGACTCCTGCATGTTCCATGTGGTAAGTTCTAAGTGTATGGTAGTTGCTTTTTTTAAAAGATATTTGTAATTAATAAGTCATTGGGCTTACAAATATTTATCATGTAAACTCTAGTAATAGTTCTCTTGCCAAGACCATACTTTTTTTTATTTTATTTTTGGGGTTTTTTTATTTTATTTTATTATTTTTGTGTGCGTGTACCGTCAAATCAGATCTGACTGGTACAGGAGGCGATTGTCCCTCCTTACCCGGCAGAGCATCTGGTGGATTCGAACTGTTCGCCTCTGGGATTGTAGTTGCAGCTCCTTGCCACTAGGCCACCAGAGCTCCCCTCAAGACCATACTTTTTAACTATATATTCTTTATTTCCAACTTTATCATTCTAAACAGCAGAAATGATCAATATATTTTGATTATATATTTAATCCATTTCAGACTGTTGCTTTGGGTAAATACCTATATTTTATTTTCTCACGTACTTGGCTCCACAATCAACAGTCTTGCCACCAGCAGCCAGGAAATTAAAAGGCACATTGCCATGGGAAAGTCTGCTGTTAGGGACCTCTCCAAAGTACTGAAGAGCAATGGCGTCTCTCTGGAGACTAAGGTGTGTCTGATACAGGCCATGGGCTTTGCAATCACTTGTTATGCATCAGAGAGTTGGACAATGACGAAGGAGGATAGAAGGAGAATTGATGCCTTTGAGCTGTGGTGCTGGAGAAGAGTATTGAGAATACCATGGACTGCTAGGAAAACAAACAGATTTGTCCTGGAAAGGGTTAAACCGGGCAGCTCCTTGGAGGCAAGGATTCTGAGGTTCCATCTAACATACTTTGGACATGTTGTGAGGAGAGATCGGTCCTTGGAGAAGGACATCATGCTTGGGAGGGTGGAGGGACAGCGCAGGAGGGGAAGGCCCTCTATGAGATGGATTGATTCAGTGACTGGTATAATCAGGATGGGTGTGTCAGAGACAGTGCGATTGGCACAGGACAGAGCAAAGTTTAGGGGTGTTCTACATAGGGTCGCTATGAGTCGCAAGCGACTCGACGTCACATAACAACAACAACAACACGTGGAGTGTTAGTAATTACTGCATAAATTAAATAATAGCCACATTAATAATTCTTCCTTCTAGCCATATGGATATTAACTTATCAATGACAGCATTGCACTTTATGATACATCTTGAATTATTCCTTTTGACAAAGATGTTTATCAAGCCTTCAATTTCTCATTCTGTAGTACAGTAGATTATATCATTAATGACTAAATAGAGATGGCCGATACCTGTCCATTTCATCTCTCTAAGGCTAAGGAGTTCTTGTGACGATAAGAGGCTACCCCGTAATCCCAAAGGCATGCTGCTTAAATCCACCAGCAACTTCACAAAAGAAGGATGGACAATATTCTCGCTTGTGAAACTGTCTCTGAAATCTCTCTAGAGGGTCAGCTATGAGCCAGTTCCGTCTCCATGGCATGCAACAACAATAGTTAGGATATCAGTCTTTATGCTTTCTATTTCTGAGTGGGATTTTCTGGTTAGCGGGTGTGTGGTTTTTGTCTCTAAAACTTTCTATTTTTATTCATTCTTACTGTGTTCTCAATATCAATAGATTTCTTACCATTATTTCTGCTTGAATGGTGGTGCTATATCAGCAACTGAAAGTCTTAAAACGTTTTATTCAGCAAGGTCATTCTTTCTCCCACACTGTTTTTACTTTATATTGATTTGCAAATGACATTTTTATACATTCTGTATCATTCATGAAGATTATATTGCATACATTCCTACACTGACATTGCGTTTCAAACACTCACTCATGTATATTGTGTTTTATAAAATTAGTCACAAATTAAAATGTTGTTGTTGTTGTTATGTGC